CACAGCCAGCTCAGTGCCCTGAGCGCTGCCATCGGCCCCGCAGCCCTCCTGCCCTCCTCACACACCCACAGCGGTGTCCGACCCACAGAGCTCCCTGCTCCGGGCCCAGGGACCTGCTGGGAGGGTAAAATGTGGCAAAAAACAACTGGGGGTACCTGGGATGGTCGTGGCCACAGCCAGGATCTCCCGAGCCCGCCTGAGGATGGCATGCTGCAGCCCAGCCTCTGTCACACCGAGCTGTGGGGAGAGAGGAGGGTGATGGCCCCAGAGGGACAGACAACAGGCTGATGTCCCCAAGGGAACACTGAAAACTCCTGGGCATTGCTGGCAAGACATGGCCATGCCAAGGAAAGCCCCCTCTGCCAGGCACCAGGAATTCCCTGGTGCTATTTCTACTACAGAGCACCCGGAGGATGTTGGAAGAGGGAGCCAGGCTGCAGCTCACCCTGCAGGTCTCTGGGAGAGCCACTGCCCACAGGGACAGGCAGAGCAGCACAGGCACCTGTCCCTGTGGGGAAGTGACACAGCAGAGCACCAGCCAGGCACAGCTGGACTCTGAGCAGGGGCAGGGACAATGCCAGCTGCTGCTGTCCCACACTGTGGCTGTCTCGTACCTTCTCCAGGTCACTGGCACTCATGGTGCCCAGCGTGTCCAGGGATATTCGGTGGTGAGCGAAGATGGGCACGTACTGCTCAGCAGAGAGCTCCAGCAGCAGGGCCACCAGCTGCTGCTCCAAACCCTTCTCCTGCAAAACACACAAACAGGTGTGCCCCTGGGGCCAGGCAGCAGCAGGGCTGGGGCTGTGCTCATCCCTGGCCTGCCCTGCTCCAGCTCTGCTGCACCCCAAACACAGCAAAGCCTGGAAGCCCAACAGTTGGAGCAGCTCTGACCCCAGGGGTTTTATGGGCACAGCTCAAACTGTTGAGGTCTGGGAATCACAGAATCCCCTGAGCTGGAGGGACCCACCAGGATCATCAAATCCCCCTCCTGTCCCTGCCCAGCCCCTGTCCCTGCCCAGCCCCCCCAGCCTGGGCACCCCTGNTCCTCCCCGACCCCAGGGAATGCCGAGGGAGGGGGAGCCTGGAGGGGCGAGGGTGCTCCATGACCCTCCCTGCCCTCATTGGGCACCTCCTCCATCCCAGCCCCAGCCGCTCCTGGTGCAGCCCTTGCCCCTCCCCAAGGACCTGCCTGCTCTGATGGGCAGCGGCAGCAAAACGTGCAAACAGAGGCTGGAAAAACAGCCCCAGGGTGTTCCCAAGGCACCGGCCCTGGTGCTGTGGCACGTCCCCAGGACACTGGTGGCACTGGGCACCTCCACGAGGCCACACACGTGTCCCACAGGGATGTTCTGCATGGGGCAGCTCATGTGAGGCAAGCCAAGCACAGGGTCCAAGGTCTCCCCTGTCTGGACATCCCTGGGGCAGCTCCACGATGAGCAACCCCCTGGGAGGAGGCCCAGAGGCTCAAATTCTTCTCTGACAAGAAGACGAGAAGGAGGAGGTGACACTGGGACAGCCGGGCGTGGGGTGGTGGCCCCGTCCCTGCTCCAGCCATCCCCCCTGCAGAAGGAAAGAGTGAGCAAATACCCCCAGCAGAAACCAGCTGCGTTTAATGGCTGCTCCTGGGGAAGGCTGTGGTGGGACAAGGCTCGTGGCAGCATTTTTATATTTCAGGGTCAAGAGCCGAGGGCAGACAGGAATTGTTACTGATCACTGGCAATGGAGCAGTGCCCACCCCCCAATGCAGAGGCACCGTGGTCCTGAGCTGGGCACAGCCCCAGCCCTGCCCCAGCCCTGGCCAGTGGCAGCAGCACTTTCTGCCCACCTGGTTTGTGGATGAGGGCCCCCCACGGGCTCCCTTGGCCAGGGCAGGTCCCTCCAGTCCCGGGGGTGCTGCAGGAACTCCTGGCTCTGCCTGCCTGAGGCTGCAGACCCAGGCAGCTCCCGTGGGGCTCCAGAGCCGAAGCCCCAGACCTTTGGCATGACAGAGGTGCACGGCAGTGTGAGCACACCAGGAACAGCATGTCCTGACCGAATGATCCCACGGGAAACCCCCCCTCCCTCCGTGCAGCACAGCGGGAAGCACTCCCCGTGTCCCTGCGAGCCCCCGGGGCCTTTCTGACAGCAAACGCCTCTGCCAGAGAGGAGGAGCCG